GGATCCCGGATTTTGACGAGTCTAAGATGTTTTTCAGATAAGCCGGGATCCTATTAAAACATATAGGGATCCTGGGAATTGACCAGTTCAAGAATATAGTTTTCAGAAAAGCCGGGATCGTATTAAAATATAAAAAGATCCCAGGAATTGGCCAGTTCAAGAATATAGTTTTCAGAAAAGCTGGGATCGCATTAAAACATAAAGGGATCCCGGGATTTGACCAATTCAAGAATGTAGTCTTTGATTTTTCCAATTAATTCGGCATATAATTATAAGTATTGGGATTTCCGCATTTTAAGTTTGTTAATAAATACCTCTAAATATATTTATATCCTAAGTTTGATTAATTTTACGTTCATTACATACAATAAAAAAACTTAACGTTAAATGTCCTTTCATTACGACAATAATCAACACACATATAGTTTATTAGTTTTTCCTCTATATCTTATACGATCCCGGATCCCGGCCAGTCCGAGCCTCCCGGACCCCGGCCAGTAAATATATATACTAAATACCGATAAAGGATAAAATGACCGGGAAAAAGGAAAAAGAAAAAAATGCACAGAACCAGATGTACACTTATGTTAATTAACCAAACGAAAACTTACTACAGAGGAACAGGTGAGATTGCTAAAACAAAAGTCAGTGTAAACATGATTTTTTGAAAAGAATTCATGAAAACAAACATTTTAATCATCATTATATCTTTGCGCTCAAAATAATACTTGCTGCTTTTTTAAAAATGGCGTGAAAATTGAAGGTTTTTTGACGCTATGTAAGATTAAATTTGATTGGCTAAATAGTTTTGGATCCTAGCCCTGATACTATTAGATAAATTCTGTAGAAAGCTGGAAGCCAAGCTTCGATTAAATTTTTGGATGGATTCGGAGTTTTAGGTTGTTTTTCAGTAAAATTCTAACGTAATACCGGCTCGCCGTGGCGAGCCGGCATAAAAAAGGCCCGATTACCTTGTGGAAGTAACCTAATTTAGAACGGGAGGTCTCAGTTTCTGTCCATTATATAATTTTCTAGCCAATGATAAATTAACTAAAATTCCGTACTGTCTTAATTTGAAAATTAAACTCTTATAACAAGCGGGCGCTTCAGAGATATCACAGAAAACAATACAAAAAATCTTAAGTTGGTTGCCTTTAGCTTTACAAACTTGATTTTATACATATCTATAACTTGACAAATTTACAAGTTTAAAAGTTTATTTAAAAGGGATATGTTCCATTATTTTGACAGTACAGCAAATAAGAGAAATAGGCCTGTAATTTTACGGTTTATATTAACTTTTTCATCTTTTTTTTTAAATGTGCAAATTTCCAACTCGACGGATATATATTCTTTGAAAAGAACTATTATCTATAATTATAGAGGGAAAGTGGTTAACATTGTGTTCTAGAAGTTTATTTTTACATTTTATGACTATTTCGTCAGATCCGGGTACATTTTTTACTAATATATTTTTGCCAAAGTATATTCATTTTTCGACAAGTTATCCTTGACAAGCAATTTACATGTATGCCAATAGTAACTTGGTTAAAATAATTTAAATCAGCTAGTGAAACTTCCGGGTTATAACTGCCTACTCAGCATGAGAAAAATATGTTATAATAAAATATTTTATAAAAAATACAATAGATGCTTTTCATATAGCAATTATTACCTCCCCTGGCCTCCATTTTGTGTGTGGGGGGCGCATTTCAAACATATCATGCATTTGCTTCAGATACGATAATAATCTCTCACAATTCTATCACCTTCGTGAAAACTGATAACATTGGTGCTATAATAATATCTTGCTGCATATGTTAAAATAAAGTTGACCGGCTGTTTAAATTGATTTTTTTCATATTTGTCAATTATATGATATAGAATAGGCCTATTGACAAAATGGCTGCCACTTTAGGCAAGGGAGAAAAAGACTTTAAAAATAAGGAATTATCTATATGAAGCCGCAAGAATTGATACGTTTTAATAAAATCAGTGTCAATTCAATCATTATTTAAACAAATATGGTGGGTAACTTTGGCAGACTATTTTATTATACATTGCTTTACATTTTTTTATTGTACGACATCAATTAGTAATGTTGAACGTAATCGTGTTTATTTTCCTATTCTACAAAAAAAAGAAAAATGCACTCTTAGACCGGATTTCATCTATGAATATCCATATACAGCTAAACGTAGTGAAGAAAAAAAATCAACATAAAACACTAGTAAAATGCATCTGTGGCATTTTAAATCACCTGACCAACACCCCCCTCATGTAAGGATACCTTTCAAATACAATTTTAATAACCAGCATGCTTCTAGATTCGTGCGAATTTTCGTGAAAATATTTAAAAGTAAGATATTATGAAGTGAATATATAAATAACAAGAGCTGTCGGTAGGACAGCACGCTCGACTATTCTAAGTGCTTGATAGTAAAAGAGCCTTGATAATGTTAAATTTTTTAAGTTCACAAAAGGGCTAATTTTCTTTTTATAAATTCATGTTATAGGCCTTAGAGAGAGTCTAATTATACAGTATTGGCTTGACTATTCTAAGGGTAATGTCACAAGGGTGTTTTATTGAGTATAATAATACTAATTACCTATGAATACATAAATTTGACAGAAAAGGTACAATGGCTTGTTATTAAGATGTTTTATCAAGTAAATCACTGCTTTATTATTATGAATGCATAAATTGTCCCCAAAAAGGCACAAACCCTTCAGTAGTTATTGAGATAACAGCTTACAAGCAAAACTTTACCATGAATTTCTAAGTTGAAAAAGGGGAGAAAAATCAGCCTAAATGCAAGATAGAATTATGGATCTTTGTCAGTGACCTACAATTATGACCCTAAATGCATATGTGAAGTTTTAAATAAATATCTTTAATAGTTATTGAGATATGTAAAATTATTGAGATATGTAAAACTTGCATACAAACATTAACCACGAGAGTAAGTAGAATAGGGGATATGAATCAGCCTTAATGCAAGATAGAGTTATGGAACTTGGTCAGTGACATACAATTATGACCCTCCAATTATGACCCTAAATGCATGTGTAAAGTTTCAAGTAAATATCTTTGAAGAACTTTAACCTTTAACCAAAATTTCTAAGTTTCAAAGGGGAAAATAATTCTGCAAATATTGCACGCAGAGTTTATTATGCAATTTTGCAAACTGATGTACATTGTTACTATAAAAAAGTATTTTAAATTTCAATTGAATATCTAAAGCAATAATTGAGAAATTTGACTTTACATAAAAACTTTAACCAACATTTCTAAGTTCCAAAGGGGCATAATTCTGTCAATATTGTAGGCTGAGTTATCCAACTTGTCAATCTGATGTACCTTGTTACTATAAATAAGTATTGTAAGTTTCAATTGAATATCTCAAGTAATAATTGAGATATTTGACTTTACAAAAAACTTTAAACAAAATTTCTAAGTTAAAAAGGGGCATAATTCTGTCAATTTTGTAGGCAGAGTTATCCAACTTGTCAATCTGATGTACCTTGTTACAATAAATAAGTATTGTAAGTTTCAATTGAATATCTCAAGTAATAATTGATATATTTGACTTGACAAAAAACTTTAACAAAAATTTCTAAGTTAAAAAGGGGCATAATTCTGTCAATATTGTAGGCAGAGTTATCCAACTTGTCAATCTAATGTACCTTGTTACTATAAATAAGTATTGTAAGTTTCAATTGAATATCTCAAGTAATAATTGATATATTTGACTTTACAAAAAACTTTAACCAAAATTTCTAAGTTAAAAAGGGGCATAATTCTGTCAATATTGTAGGCAGAGTTATCCAACTTGTCAATCTGATGTACCTTGTTACTATAAATAAGTATTGTAAGTTTCAATTGAATATCTCAAGTAATAATTGAGATATATGATTTTACAAAAAACTTTAACCAACGCAGACGCCGACGCCGACGCTGACGCCGACGCCGACGCCGGGGCGACTACAATAGCTCTCATATTCTTCGAATAGTCGAGCTAAAAAGGAAATTGCACATGGCAAACGGCATTTACACTCCACTACAATTAACAAAAGGAGGTCAAAATATGCAAAAATAGCCCTTACTGCGTTAGTCACTTTTAGTTAGTCTCAAACCTGTCTTTATTCAGACCGCCTCTGAATAAAGACCATCATGTTTTTAAAGACCACTCTTTGACAAACATTCACTGATGAAATTACAGCAGAGTACACTCACAATAAAGACTACTTGTGTATAAAAAGCCATGTATGGTCTTATTCAAAGGCTCGAAATGTTTCGTGTTTGTTTTTTGTTCATGAGGATTTATATGTTTAGTTATTAAAAATATATATTTATCTGTTGAGGTCAATGTATGTTTTCTTTTGTCTGCTAAGAAACAATTGCATGCTTGGTCATCAAAATGTACAGTTTTAATGCGTAGGGTATTGAAAATGAGATGAAAGTTGGCATGCAGCGACGTAGTAAAAATATTTGCTCTAGAAGAGCAGAAGCGGCTTACGGTGTAGAGGAGATACAGGTTATTTGAGTATCACAATGGCTTTGTATTTGCACATACTTTCACATGAAGCTGTCCGTAGTAACAACAAAAATTGGGAGGTATAATTTAATCCAATTTGTAAGGAAAGAGACTAAATAACATATTAGATGAACCATTCTATTTCTATGGACGTTATTTTCAGTAGACTGGTTTGAAGAGTTTTTTTTACTTTACGCTGTTCAAATTTTACTATTTCCTAATAAACACGTACGTCATAAAAGTAGCGATTCTCATTTTTGAAACAATTTGATAACAAAATTCGAAATTACCATTTATTTAATTAAAACCATTCAAATTTCCTAGGTATATGCCTGGTGTATGCGTATACTAGTAGAACCGGAAATCTTATCTCTGATTTTAAGCGAAACACCAATGGTGCTTTGATTGTGCTTTTAGTAGACGTGCTTCTCATAAAAGATCCGCATTTGTAAGATCTATAGCGCCTGGTCAGGATAAAAAGGATACAAAATGACAAAGAAACTCTTATACATAAATTTGTTATTTGTTAAATTTATCAAGTCATCTATTTACGATAAAATATGGAAAAAGAATGATTTTGATAGACGATTTTTATATATGTTTCATTTTGCAATATTATCATTATTGTATTTTAAATATCAACACAACTTTTTCATACAGGTTCATCACAAAGTCATGCTGTTTTCAAAATGGTTCAAAACACTTAAAACTAGAAAAAAATTATCTAGAACATTCAAAATATCACGATTCTACTATAAAAGTTTTACATCTGATTGATTCATTCATTTATATGACGTAATAGTTATGACTTGCTGTAAGTCAAGAGAGCACTTCAATGAAATGCGGACTGTAATGCTCTGTGCGTGGTCCAAAGAACTCAATTAAAATGAACCTAGGATAAAAATATTCTAAGACATTTCATACATACAAATAGTCATTTTCCTAGTAACATAAACCCACAATAGAAAGCAATGAAAAATAGAATGTATCACCAATAAATGTAGATCCTGCGTTCTTATCATAATCATGGATCACAAGTCAGTACATAATTTAATATTTCAAAACAAAACACCGTCAGTACAAGTCTCGCGACTGTTACACTTCATGCAAAGGCACTCGGTTTCGGGATAAAAAAAAACCTTTTTGAGAGGTTTGTAGAACTCAAATTTAATTGAATGTAATTTGATAGTCGTCGACGTTTCCATGTCTACCGTGTTGTTTTAATAACATCGGGAAAATGACAGTTATAGAAATGAGACATGTTAAAAAATCGTTAATTCAATCAAATTTGAGTTCTACAAACCTCTCAAAAAGGTTTTTTTATCCCGCAACCAAGTGTCTATGACTTCATGTTTAAGATCATTCCGTCGAATCAGAGCCTTTCGTTTCCCTTTCGTCGTCCAGCATATCAAGAAGGTTGAACATGAAATCTTCAGATGCCCGGAGAATCTGTCGCAGTGAATGAAGTGCTAGTAAACTTACATCATCCCTCACGTTGATTTCCTTTTCATAGTTTTTGACTGGTAACACATGACTCCTGGGAATACCAAGGATGTTAGAAACCGTATCAACAAGCTCCTGTATTGTATCGCTCTGAAACACCCTGGACACATCTTCCTCTACATTTGAGCAGACTTTGTCGATTTTAGTAATAAGGACTACTTGTGACAGGCCTAGAAATACAATAACAAAATCATTGTTATTAAATTAATTTCATTACATGTAATAAATAATCCGAAGAATTTTATCAAAACATTCTATACAACCGTGATGAATTCTATGAAAAGCAATAATGTATTCTTTAAAAAGTGATAATTAATGCGCCGCACAGGGTTTTAAAAATTATTTCTTTTGAACACTTAAAGAACAAGAAAATCGAGGACCAATTGCAGGGCATGGGAGAAATGCAATTTTTAAACACAGGCTTATGATAAGATAGAGAACATGTTCTATGTCTTCATTATTCTGCAATCGAATACCCGGTGCTTTTAACAATTAAAGGCTCATCATGCCGCGGTTTTATGAATTATCTATGCATTCTGCAGACAGGGAAATTATGTATTTATTAATAATATTGTAATAATTGATTTAGAACATTCAAGATGCTCATCGTTTTAATAAAATAATGTTTTAACCCATGCCGAGCATTTAATCTGGGGGTGCCAGATGAGTTGCGTGCGGCATCCTTCGGATGACAAAATTTCACTGTTCTGAATGAAGTTGTAATCTCATACGTTTTTGTAAGAAAATAGTTACGGGTGTAATGACATAAATCTCCATAAAAAATTGTTTTATTAAGGTAAAAAAGAATTTAAAATATGATGGAATATGGTAGAATATGCAAGAAACAAGAGCTGTCCGTAAGACAGCGCGCTCGACTTTTTTATTGCTTGCCAATAAAAAAAGTTTTTGCAGTAAAAGGCAATACAAGAATCTCTGTATTTTTAAAGTGAACTAGTTGTTTGATACCCTTGAATATTACAGCAATGTTTATATGACATAATTTATGGTAAAGTGAACAAGTGGATAGGAATGAATTTTTTTAGATTTTTTAAGTTTTTTAGTGCTTGCCTATAATACAAAACATTGACAGTTAAGGGCCATAATTCAAATAAAATCTTTGACAGAATTACCTTCTCCTGGACATGTTTGGGGAATCATGATTGTAAACAAGTATTCCAACTTTCAAATTAATATCTCAAACAGTTTCAGTCAAAAAGTGGACTGGTACTAAAAACTTAACCAAGATTCTAAGTCGATAAAAGGCCTTAATTTTTAAAACAAATCCTTGACAGAGTTACCTTCTCTTGCGTACAGATGGGGGGTAATGATGTGAAATAGCATTAAAAGTTTCAAAGCAATATCTCAAAGGGTTAAGGCAATAAGTGGATTTTACCCATATTCAATGTATTTTCTAAGTCAAAAAGGGGCATAATTCTGTCAAAAACCTTGACAGAGTTATGTCCTCTTGTCTGTTGATGAAGGTCGTGATGGTAAACAAGTATGGTCAGTTTCAAAGCAATACCTCCAATGGTTTTGAAATAAAGTGAGGTGGTACAAAAAACTTAACCAAGCTCAATACACTTTCTAAGTCAAAAAAGGGCCATAATTCTGTCAAAAACCTTGACAGAGTTATGTACTCTTGTCTGTAGATGGAGGTTATGATGGTGAACAAGTATGGTAAGTTTCAAAGCCATACTTGTAATACTTCTGAAATAAAGTGGGGTGGTACGAAAAACTTAACCAAGGTGTGACGCCGACGCCGACGCCGACGCCGACGCCGACGCCGGGGCGAGTAGGATAGCTCCCCTTTTCATAGAAAAGTCGAGCTAAAAATAGCTGTTCGGATGGGAATATCCATCCCTCGGGAACTCGCCCATGGGCGATAACTAGGCAACCCTCGTTACCGCCCAATGGGCGGGTCCCTTGCGAAGGTTATTCTGATCTGAGCCTCAACATATGACAGATATCATTAATAATGAACTCGTTATATCATACCTTTTTGTCGAACTTTACTCTGGAGGGCCTTAATCTTTTCTAACATTTTCTCTGACATTACCGACACTGTGGTTCCATCCATTATAAAGCAAACACAATGAATTTTGTGGTTCAATGTCGGTGAGGCAACAAATCCAGTTGTGTCGGGAGAAATCGGAGTTGATGGATTAAACTGATAAAAGAATGCATACCAGTATGTGGATGTTTTGTAAAGTTTGAAATGTATATCACAAACAAACAGTTCTGTAAACACGTTATCCTAAAGTAAGTACAAATGATTTGATGCTGAAATATTTTCATAAAACAGTCTTTTTCATGTAAAATAAAGGCAGACATATAAGCCGCGTCACGACAAAATCAACGTTATGCGTTTGCGACCAGCATGGATCCAGACCAGCCTGCGCATACGCGCAGTCTGATCAGGATCCGTGCTGTTCGCTATCAGTTTCTCTACTTGTAATAGGGTTTGTAAGCGAACAGCATGGATCCTGATCAGACTGCGCGGATGCGCAGGCTGGTCTCGATCCATGCTGGTCGCAAACACATTATGTTGGTTTTGTCGTGACACGGCTCATATATAGTTGTTATAAAGAAGCATCGAGTAGGAATTTACAAGAGTAAAATCACATACAGAACAATGACACTTTTATACTTGTATGTATTTGAATTAGAGATTTTCAAACCTGGTATCCGTTTGGAACATTTCCCGCCAAAAGGTAATTGAGCTCCGTGCCATCCATACCTTGATTTTCTTCAATCCCTCTTGTGTCACACAACCTAAATTTCAATGGCTCTGTCAGAGCGGACCCCCCGCACACGATACATGCGGTACTGTAAATAGACAAAAAGGCTGTCCATTATTGATATATAACTTTATTCGCTTAACTTTTTTACAATGTTAATTTCCCAAAAGGCCGATGGGAGTTATTCGTACTGTTTCTGCAAGTGTGTCACGTGAGTAAGAAATTTGTACTCTTACATAGGTAACGCATGTATAACAGTATGTTTTAACAGTACATAATATTATACTTGTAATTTATAGTCACGTGGTTTATTTTCTAAAAAAAAAAGGGAAGGAAATAAAAATAAAAGGTGTTCATTTTTCTCTCGATTCAGCTTCTTATTTGTTGAAGTTTACCATGATGGGGCATCACCAGGGTGAGTATGACAGCCTAAAAATTAAATTACTATAGAGTGCTTTTTGCGTCTTAGTTAAATATCGTTTGGTTGAATTGTAAATAGTAAACATCCGTTATTGCTTGGGAGTAAAATCTTGTGTGTCAAAAATGGAACAAGCAGGCGATGGAATTAGCAGCAAATGATTATATACTGAATTTTATCAGTTAAACATGAAAGGTGTTGTAGGCAAATGTGGGATATCGTAAATGCACCTTTTTGGATGTATACCTTTGATGTAATACTCTGTTCCGCACTAACCGCAAACAGCCCTGTCCAGTCACATGACCTCGAAAGATTGAGGAAATTGTATTGAAGAAACTTGATTTCCAGCACCAACCGGACCAAGGAAGAGAATGTTTTGCTGTTTTCAATCCAATCCCGTGGGGTGGGGACCACGCATCGATTTCATTCTTTAAATGTTCTAAATTCTGTATGAAAAAATGTAATTGAAAACAGAAATTAGAAGTAAATGCATTTATTTATTACATTTACATGGAAGAATAGAAAATTTATGTTTGATTGGATAAAACACTGCATGCTTTTAAATAAAGAAAGAAGATATCTTAGCAGTGTTTTTCATCTAACATCACCAAACGGAACAAAATAGTGGATGGTGTATGGTTAATTTGCATCATGTCATTGTGGTTCATCGTTTGCTTTTCTTGCTCTCCTATTGATTCACATTTTGTATGACAAAGTCGTCAAGTATACCGACTTAACAGATCTTGTAACTCAAATTTTTTTTTATATCATAAATATGATGCTCAAATGAAGATTGTTTTCAATATTGTAAGTTCCAAAAAGCTTTATTTGTTAAAATAGAACCGAATTTACATTTCATGTAAATAAAGGGAGGTAATTTGAAATTTATTTTTGATAAAGTCTATGTCAATTGGTTTTCAATAAGAAATGAATGCATATACATTTTAATGATTACTTATAATGCGTAATACACGTTTGCTTGTAGTATACACATTTAACATATTCTTGGATGTTTGGAATAATCATATACATATATAAAATATTACTTAAGTGATGTTACAACCTTAATAACAACATACATGATCTTTAAATCCCCGCCTGCTTAGCTCAACAGGAAGAACATCCTCGGGCAAGGCTTAATTATTTTTCTAGTTAATATTTTGATCTTTGTAATTGAATCTCTCGGTCATTCGTTTCTTGACGCTGATTTGTCACGACAAAATCAACATAATGGGTTTGCGACCGGCATGGATCCAGACCAGCCTGCGCATCCGTGACGCGGCTCAATTGGTAATTTTTGGTTTGTTATCCTGGAAAGCCGAATAGTTGGACTGGCGAATATCAAAATGTGTTAAAATCGGCATGAAAAAACAACAACCAAGAACACAAACAAATAAAGACTGGCGTGTGTATTTAAGTTACACACGGAACATTAAATCTCTTCATACGAGAAACCAGTCAGTTTGTAGGTCTTCTCGGACGCCCAACCCTTTCTTAGAAAATACCCAAGATGTCTCCTTCCGTTAATACAAAATCTATGAAGTCATAATATGATTACGTCACTGCCAATTTAATTTGCGCGCTAGATTTGTAAAGCTTACCTGTTTCTTCCAACCGCCAATCTGTCTCCAAGTTGGCAAGGGGACTGCATCTGTGTTCACAAAACATACATTCTTTGTTAATATATATATATATTGTACACTAAATTTATTTATTTATTTATTTATAGCTAAAAAGTATCAAGCTCAAGTTTGAAAATACTCAGTCTTTAATATTATTGGCTATTTTTACAAATATCTTGTGGAGGAACTTGTGACAGTTTTTTTTTTTTTTATCTTTCTGACCTTTAATTATGTTTATCTACACAATGTCTAATATTTTAAGAACCTTGAAACTGTGTCAAGAACTTGTGAAGTGATCAATGGATGTATCATATGTATGACAAATACTTAATCAGATATGGATTTTCTTTTGAGACGTCCATAGTCATTTTGTATGTCTTTTACTTCGTACTTTTTATCAAACAATAGCGAAAACAAAAAATGAAAAATACGTAGAATATGTTACCCTTTTCATGTTTTTGGACATTTTTTAATAATTTCAAAATGCATTATAGATTTTATATATGTTTAAATGCACGTGGCGCGATTAAACAGAAGAGAAAATAAAAATAACAAATGGCACATCTTTTTAACTTAAATGTGTTTCCAGTTTCCAAAATGACTTCATACACTACTAGTTTTTCTCCTGTTTTTTTTTTTTTTTATTTTTTTATATTTTTTTTTTGGTAGGAGGGTTTTGAGGGGGATACTTACCAGATACACTGTATACCTCCAAATCTGTGATAGTTAAAGAATCGTTAGAAAAACTGTCCGATTGACATGCCCTCATGTCATAAGAATTATGGTATGTAAATTCGCCATTCAACGTAAACTGACTGTCTTCCTCCTGTGTCAGTGCTCCCTCGAACGTGATAATGTCTGCTCCAAATATTGGCCCGTGTGTGTTTTTTGCAAGAATGGCATATTCGGCTTTCTCACGGGGAACTTCGCCGGGGTTACTGTCTCCATTGTGTTGTAATCGGAAAAGGAAGGCATGATCATCCCTTACATATACCCCCACTTTCAGAGGTCGCAACTATTCTCAGTAAAGCCCCCGTACACTGTAAACCTTGAGTGTTGTAAATAACAGTCACTGTCGGGCCTTTCTTGTCACAAAGTTGATGAAATGTTGACGCATCGGCACCATCTCTAGTAAAGCTATACAACAAATCAAATTGCTTTTGGTCCGCCTGTATAAAGCATTCTAGTTGTTTCTTGTCAACAACTGAAAGTTTCCCTGCCATTTTCCTTCTGCAAAAATATATATATATCCCATTTCCAACAAACAAATTGTGTGTCAAACAAACAACAAATAATAATTCTCCACCAATTTTTACAAGTAGTTGATAAAGGGGCAAAGTTGAAGCATATGATTATGAACATTCATTGAGAAGTTGTCTCCCCTCTTACTGAAAATAATGCTAATTCCGATGAAAATGTAAAAAGCCCGCTCTATGTCAATATAATAACATAAACGCAATTAAAAGACTTATATTACACGACAAAAATGGTTAAATCAAATATGCATATTCGACAGATTAAACAAAAATTCACATTCAGAAAAGAGATTACGTGTCTTGTAGACTGCTTTTAAAGTTGATTGGTCTACAATGGGCACAATTTCAATAAAAGATTCAAATACTTAATAAATGATGAACATATTTTATGAATAAAAATAATTTTTTTTTTTTAAGAAAATAAGTGTGTCTATAGTTGTTAAAGATTAAGTAGGAATATTTATATGACAAATATATTTTTTTCTAGTAAAACACTTCATTGTCTGCCATATATATACATGAGCCGCGCCATGACAAAAACCAACAAGGTGCGTTGGCGACCATAATGGATCCAGACCAGACTGCGCATCCGCGCATTCTTGATAAGGATCCATGTTGTTCGCTGCCAGTTTTTTTAACTTGTAATAGGGTTTGTATGCTACCAGCATGGATCCCGCAGATCCGCGGATGCGTAGGCTGGTCTTGATCCATGCTGTCGCAAACGCACTATGTTTGGTTTTTTTGTGACGCGGCTCAAGTGTGTAATATCCGATTATGTAATCTAACGCATATCAACAACATCTACGTACTATAATTGAAATTCTTTCGTTGTAATGTTGTATGTTGTCACGTATGATTTCTTAATACTATTAAGATAAGTATTTATAGTACATATTTACAAAAGGTCCATAATGGACTAATTCCCTTTAATAGGATAGCTTGGTGATCGTAATTTACCTTAGCCATGCCTTGCGATGCTAAATATTGTGTCTTTACATGAAAAATGGCTTATGAATCCAAGGACTAGCTAACAAGAAAGCAAAACAAGAATATAAAGAATACTCGTTACATATATACTTGGAATAAGAACTTATTCCGGCTGTATATCATGTGAAGTACGTAGTGCAATAGTATAAACACGGCTCACTTTATAATCATTATTATAATTTCTTTATTTTATTAAAACTCCATCTTCAAAATTTATAAAAATTTTAAGGGTTTATAAAAAAACCCCAAAAACAATTTAAAGGGAAAAAAGATGGTTCAAACCCAAATTTGAAAAATTTAAAAGTATCAATATTTCTGAAGTACATGGGTCAGCGTACCGGTCTCGGCGTCGTGGAATAGTTGATACCTTTTTTTAAAAAATAGATATTAGGTTTAATGTATTTTCTTTTTCTGTAAAAAAATCGTCTCCGGAACATCTCGTAAACATACCAAATATCCAGGTCATTACGGCATGTACTGGTAACAGTCTATCATTATACATGCACATACTGTATACTGTATAACTGGTACATGTACACAGTGTCCTTGACATCGAGCCTCAGTGTACAGTACGTACAGGAAAACGAAAAATGGGCTCTTGACATAACGATTTTCACTTTTCGGAAAATGTTGAGAATGAAAAATTATCGAAAGAAGATTTCCTAGCACGAAAACCAAACTTTACATGTAGGAAGTTGTCCCTTACATAAATAGAAAGAGTGCTGACAAATACAGTAGTTGTGTATCAATTAATTATAATAAGTATGTTTATAAAAAATCATTGATAAGATTAGTTTCACCACATTATTTTAAATATTTCAACTACGAAAGTCCAATTAAGAACATCGAACACAATAGTAAGAATACATAGAACGGATACGGTATTTTGGTCTAACCTACGCTTAGAAAGTAAACATGTAAACAACGATGTTTATTCAGTATTTCGAGTGAAAGTGCACCTAAAGTAAGATAACTTATACATATGACTATATATATGCTTTTTATTACGGATTCGGATTTGTTTATAATTGTACATCAGTGAGTATTTTGAAATTGATTATGATTGTCAACCATATTTGCAATCATAATTTAAACAAAACAAACTGGCTTTTAAATACATGTATCTGTTGTTTGTGTGTTTACAACTGGAATTACTTTCAATCCGTATTAAGCCCGAGGGTATTGTAGATAATAGCCGTGGACTTCATGCCACATACTTTAATTAATCGGGTATTAACTTCATGCACAGATCCCGACTTGTCCAATTCTAACTATCAGATTAGTGGATACCAAAAACATATTTGTTAACAAAGGAGCACAATCATGTTAATTGTGTGTTGTTACATCTAGTATTGTTATTCAAATAAAAGGTCGAAATAGGGATCTATCAAATGATTAGTCTGTGTTTACAATAAGACCTCTACAAGTATTTTCGTGTTGAAAAAAATATTAAAAGGAGAATAAAAAGAGAAATTGTGGACATGTTTTATTTTATTCGTGGTCACAGAAATTAGATCTTCAGTAGTTCCAAAACCACCATTACGAGACGTCGCAAAAAGCTTCCTTAGGGGCACATTATGTCTCAGAAACGAATAAATATTTCTTTCAATATAAAGGGCAAATAAAGATTTTTTTTCAAAAATGTATATTAACATTTTTAGGTAACACTTTAGAGCAGGCTAGATGCCTATCACCTGAATGTGAAATTATTGGTAATGAAAGTAGCAAAATGTAAACAAAGTAGTATTTTGACTTCCATACAAAACAATATATCACAATAACTGTACTTATCGCCAAAAAAGCAACAAAAGAAATAAAAGAGAGTTCAGATTATAAGCCAATGATTAACTTTTTGGAAAATATAACCTGACATCAAAAATTAAAAAGCTGTTTGATGAATAAAAATGAAAGAATTTCTGAGGCAAAATGGGCCTTTAAATAATCAATACTTCAAATTTGTGTTGGTACGTTTTGTTTACCCTGGTCTGTTTTGTTTACTTTATCTTTACGAATTGTAAACTGTAGTAAATTCTTGAAATTTTCAGAACTTGAAATTTTGTTACGACTCGTCTTGCTTTCATGTTATATGCAAGGCAATTTCATACTCGTATAAAAAGAAATGTATATACTTTACTCATGTATGGAAAAAGCAACCAACCAATTTCACTTAGTCTGGATTAAATGTTAAATGTCTAAGCCGTGCAAAAGGCGGGATCGTAATTTTAAAAATTGTTGACCAGTGGGGTCTTTAAACGTATAAATATTTCATTAATTTATCTATAATAAAGGTTAGGGTATTCAGCAACAAGAGCTGTCCGTAAGACAGCGCGCTCGACTTTTTTAGTGCTTGCCTATAATACAAAACATTGACAGTTAAGGGCCATAATTCAAATAAAATCTTTGACAGAATTACCTTCTCCTGGACATGTTTGGGAATCATGATTGTAAACAAGTATTCCAACTTTCAAATTAATATCTCAAACAGTTCAGTCAAAAAGTGGACTGGTACTAAAAACTTAACCAAGATTCTAAGTCGATAAAAGGCCTTAATTTTTAAAACAAATCCTTGACAGAGTTACCTTCTCTTGCGTACAGATGGGGGTAATGATGTGAAATAGCATTAAAAGTTTCAAAGCAATATCTCAAAGGGTTAAGGCAATAAGTGGATTTTACCCATATTCAATGTATTTTCTAAGTCAAAAAGGGGCATAATTCTGTCAAAAACCTTGACAGAGTTATGTCCTCTTGTCTGTTGATGAAGGTCGTGATGGTTAACAAGTA